ACTATCTTATATTCAAACTTATTTATTCAAAATAAAATGTGGCTAAAGTCCATATAATAGTAAAATGACCGCATAAAATTGGAGTATGACACACATTAAGCTCCACATACCTCAAGCCTATTCTTTTTATGATCTTCAATTCTTCAAAAATGTCTCATAGTTCATCCTTAATCGCACTACACATGTCAATGGGTTTCAAAAATCCACCATTGCATCTTACCTAAGAGTCTCAAATGATTCCTCCACAACCAACGACCTTATTTGTCTTACTCGCCCCATTCATATTTAACTTAACACAATTGCTCAATATGGTTTTCCAACCTACTAATATGGTTGATTTTTCTCCTCCCAATGTCACTCTATTGTTAAGAGTAGCATCCTCATAATCATTTATCAATTGTAACACATATTGCACCAATTTCAAAGGTTATGGCATCCAATGATCCAAAATATACCCCCAAACATTTCTCCCATTGTTCCTGGCATTAAGATTCAAAATCATTTGGTCTGCTTGCTCTAGATTATATAACACATTGACTATGTTACTATAAACTCTATTCATCCATAATTCCATCATGATTAACTCTCCACTTTAACTTTAATATCCTTTGTCATATATGAGGTTTGTTTTGGATGAAAAATATTACAATTTAGTTTTAAAAAACTTTGGACTACTTTAGAAAGTTCATATGATTTGAGGGATATAGGTCCAAAAGAAGTAATGTGAACCTAAACTTTCTGACTACAACCGCATATATGGCCCGCTTGTAAATGGGCTTTGCCTGTTTTTTTATCAATGGCAATTCATTTACAAAGCAAATATAAAACTACACATATACCCCATTTGTGAGCAACACACAACATCCAAATTAATAACATAAATGAACCAAATACTTACAATTGTGACAAGATCAGTGTGACCAAAATACTTACAATTGTGACAAAATCAATGTGATCAAAATACTTGTATCTATAGATTATGTCAATCCTGCAAAACAAGAAATCAAACAACACTCCTTCAAAACGACAAACAAAAACAACTTTGCACGACGAATAAATCATGAAACAAAAGGTTCGGTCATGCCTAAAAAATAAGACCATGAAAAATTATATTGTAGACTAGTATAATTTGAAATATTATTATATAAAAAAATTCTTTTCAGACAAAACAGGAAAATTTAATTTTTTTCTTAAATAAAAATTAAATTAAGTTTTTAATAAAATAATTTAATAACTTTGATATTTCATCGGATTTGTGGAGATATAAAACAAGTCTGGCAGGTACAAACTAAATTTTTCTTATGTTGTGAAAATATAAAAATGAACTACTAATTCGTGGAAAAACATCATATGAAACTTTAAAAAAGTGTATTTGATTTCAAAAATACATCTCATAATGCATTTTTTACACATTAAAATGTGTTCAAAGTGAGTTTCACCCTTTTTTTTTTTAATTTTAAATTTAGTTTATGCATCTCTGAATTCACCATATGCGCACGCCATGTATTCTTAATTGAAACATGTTCATTTTTGTTATAAGATGTAATTCATAGTTTCATTAAGTAGGTTGTGTTCGACAAGGTTGTGTAACATAATCGAAGTAGTTGTAGAGTCAGCAGCATTCGACAGAGTCGAATACAACTGATAGTTGTTAGGTCAAAGTGTAACTTTGTATGTTTTTTATTCGGGTCTTGGTTGCCTATAAATAGGCATGATGTTGTAATTCAAAATGCAATTGATAGAATTTTTCCTTTTCACAATACAATTTCTCTCTCTTCTTCTTCATTCACTCTTCTTGAAACTCTAATTGTTCTAACAAATTGGTATCAACGAGCCCGAGTTGCAATCAGTGAGATTCTGAAATGGAAAACGAAAACACAACATCAATGTAATTCCCAGCAAATTTACCGATTTTCAAAGGCGAGAACTTCGAAGGGTGGATTGTGCAAATGAAGGTCATCTTCAGATTTTAAGATGTGGCTAAAATCGTGAATGATAGAGTATCTGCATTTGAAGGGAATGAATATGATGTTCAGAAGGCTGCGCACAAGGAACAAAGGAATAAAGATGGAAAAGGCATATCCTAACGTGTTCGAGAAGATCATTGAAGCGGAAACGTCCAAGGGAGCGTGTGACAAGTTAAAGAACTTGTACGGC